GCTGCAGCACTTTATCGATACTGTGCTGCTTCCTGCAGGCAAAAAGCGTCTCGTGGTGGTAAATTTTACATGTTGCTGGATGGCTTCTTCAATGGGATTCGCCGAGCAGAAGCCAAGGTCAAGGACCGATTATTTGAGCCACCCTTCACGATGAAGAGCGATCTGTTCCACCACCGGCGCCAGGTTGGGGCGCTCCTGGATGTGTCTCACTAGCGCATTCTCTCAGCTGATGAGAGCTTTCAGCTAAACGAGCTTGATGGTCTAAAGGATTAAATAAAGCAGCTCAATTACTTCCGAGGTCCTATCGGGACCAAAGATAGTCAAAAGCTTGTACGAATTGTAAATCTGTACAGGGGACAAGTTTTCCAAAAACCATAATCTATCCTCGACATAGTTCTCACCGACTCCTCGTGGGATTGACTACAACTACTGCCAAGTGCAACGGGGATGCCGTTTTCTATATGCTTCGACTCTTAATGTCCGCTTTCGCAAATGTGCTGAGAGGATCAGCACCGAGCAGGTAATACTGTTAGCTTGCTCGACTATATTAAAAATACATACTTTAAAATCAATCTTAACTAAACTAATACAAAATTCTGCGCTTCGTAATTCGTGTGTCCTCCGTTTCGGCATTCTATCATCTTCATACTGTATATGCCGATATTTCGATAATTGTGATTATTTACAATTACACCTGGTGTAACGTAAATTTCGTAAAAGGATACCTTATTGTATTATTACAATTAAATCAAATTTAACACAAGTTATATTTTTCAGTCGAAGCGTCATGCATGGTAATTTTGCTGACGAGCAGAGGCTACTAGCGAGAATAATTGATTTGAGATATGGCATTTTCATCTTTCGACCTTTTGCTGAATGTGAAAATTTGTTATTCTTAAAAATATTTCACAGCTTATATTTCAGAACTAAGCTTAAGCTTTTGCGTATATCAGCAAATCAAAGGATTGCATTGGTCTATATTCTCTGCGATCGCAAGAAAATCTTCTCCCCGTACTGAAAGAAGAACAAATACCAATATGAAGCTCACGGTCAAGACACTTCAAGGTGTCGCCTTCCCTTTAGAGGCAGAGCTTACAGATGATGTAAGAAAAAATATCTCGTATATGTCAAGCCCAAACTATTTAATAAGTTTTGATCGAGAAGCAAGCGAGAGAATCTCAAGCAATAACTTAAATATCTTGCTCAGTAATGACTTACATACCTTGCTTACTTGTTTAGATTTCAGCGGTGAAACAGAAGATTGAAGAATTGCAAAAGTTTCCTGTAGCCCAACAGAAGCTCATTCATGCAGGCAAAGTGCTTAAGGACGACAGTACTTTGGCTGATTATAACGTAAAGGAGAATGATTTCCTTGTCGTGATGGTCACCAAGCCAAAAGCGCCTAAGCCCTCTGCTACCCCTTCTCCCTCTACTCCTGCTTCCGCTCCGTCTGTCGTAAGTGCAGCTCCTTCTGCGGTCCCTAATACGTCATCAGCGTCTAGTAGCTCTTCAGCAACAGCTTCGGCTGTTTCGACACCGTCGGCCGCTCCAGCCACGGTTGCGGCCAATTCGTCACGAGAGGGTAGTAACCTTGTAGCTGATGAACAAATGAGTGCTACAGTGCATCATTTAATGGACATGGGATTTCCAGAAGACCAAGTACGCAGCGCACTACGTGCAGCATTTAACAATCCTGAGCGGGCCGTGGAATACCTGATGACGGGTATACCCGAACAAGCTGCATCCGAACAGACGACTGTTACATCGTCTGGGGCTGGAAATGAGGGTACAACCAACACGCTTGAAGCGCTTCGCAATCATCCACAATTTGACGCGTTACGTCAGCTTGTTCAGTCCAACCCGCAGACTTTGCCGGCTGTATTGCAACAGATCGGCGCTCAGAGCCCAGAACTGCTGCGTTTGATTCATCAAAACCAAGATCGCTTTGTGCAGATGCTGAACGAGCCAATTGGTACGCGTGAAGCTGGGGCAACGCCTAGTAGTAGCACAGGAGCCACTCCGTTCACTTTAGGTACAAATGTTTCTTCGACTGAACAGCAAATGCAGCAGCAATTTTCTGAGTCATTGCAGATGCAAATTGCCGCACAAATGGGCATGACTCCCGAACAGCTTCGTGGTCTATCGCAGATGCTAAGCAATTTGCCACCAGAAGCGATGGAGCAGATGATGGCGTCCATGGGCGGAGGTAGCGGACTTGCAGGACTTGGTGGGGCATCTGATGCTGGAAATGCCGGTCACCGAATTATGTTGACAGAGGAGGAAGCAGCAGCCGTCGATCGGTTGTGCGAAATGGGATTTGAACGCACGGATGTGATTCAGGCATATCTTGCATGCGACAAAAACGAAGCATTGGCTGCTAACTTTCTCATGGATAGTGGAGATAGCTTTGGTGGGGGTACTGCTGGTTCAGGTGGACAGGGTGAGGACAATGATGACATTTACGGTTAAAATCATACAAAATAGCCAGTGCTGGCATGTTGCGATTACTTTGTCTTCTTCTTACTTGTATGACATCTTTTACTTTGTTCGCATGTCGCCGAAATTATACAGATATGGCTGGGAGTTAGGTAGCGCCGGTATTTTGAAGCCCACGAAGATAAATATATCGACTGTTTTTGCTAAATTTGGTATCGGTTTGGATTTCGTGCATTCTCTAACTTAATAAGCATGGGTGAAGAAGAAGTTGAAAAGCATATTTTGCGCAAGTATGAACTGCTGCAAAAGCTTGGCAAAGGCGTAAGTAATCACTCTGCAAATGGCGCTCTTCATTTCCTAAGAATTTTCTTTGGTGTTAATAGGCCTACGGCATTGTGTGGAAAGCAATTGATAAAAGTAATCGTCAGGTAGTAGCATTAAAAAAATGTTTTGATGCCTTTCGTAATGCTACCGACGCTCAACGGACTTTTCGTGAAGTCATGTACTTGCAAGAGCTTCATGGACATCGTAATATTATTCGATTGCTGAATGTTGTCAAAGCTGACAACGACCGGGATATTTATCTCGTCTTCGATTATATGGGTAAACTAGATCTTGTAAGGTTCTCTCGTCATCTTCTAATCGTTATGTATGATAGAGACGGACTTGCATGCTGTTATCCGGGCTAATATCTTGGAGGAAATTCACAAGAAGTACATAATTTACCAATTGCTGAAGTCACTTAAGTACATGCACACTGCCGAGTTGTTGCACCGTGATATTAAGCCAAGCAACGTTCTACTGAATTCGGACTGCCACATTAAACTGTGCGATTTTGGACTTTGTCGTTCTGTAGCCGAGATAAGTGGACCCAATCCCGTTCTTACGGATTATGTTGCCACACGATGGTATCGTGCACCTGAAATTCTGCTGGGGTCGACCAGGTACGCCAAGTCAGTGGATATGTGGGCTGTTGGTTGTATAGTGGCTGAAATGGCCACTGGACGTCCTGCTTTTCCTGGTACATCGACAATGAATCAGCTCGAGCGAATTTTGGATGTTACTGGATTCCCAACTCAAGGCGATATCGAGAGTATACGATCGCCTTTTGCCAGTACCATGTTAGAGAGTTTGCCTAAGCCGAAGCCAAAGCCCTATGATGAACTTTTTCCAAAGGCCTCACTAGAAGCATTGGATCTTATCAAACAGTGCTTTTGGGTGTGTTGAGTATTGATTTTGATTTGAATGGCTTTTTGGCTCATACGATTTCTGATTTTTTCTGTTAGTTCGATCCGTCTAGAAGAATTTCGGTAATTGATGCATTGAAGCACCCTTTTGTGGCTCAATTTCACAACGATAAAGATGAGCCTAGTGCTCCAGCTCCTTTACAAATTGTCGTAGATGACAACACCAAGTATTCTGCTGCCGACTATCGCGATCGCTTGTATCGTGAAATCATTAAAAAAAAAAAAGAAGTTAGACGGAAAGCAGGTGAAATCGAGGCTGCCTCTGCTATTGCAGGCGCACAGTAGTAGTCTATTAATGATTCAAAAAATGGCAGCGGTAATTAGTGGTTCAAACTAAACTCAAAATGTCAAAGTTTACCAAGGCTTGCAATTCCAAAGCTAGTTTGAAGACTCCAACGATTGTGATTCCTGTGAAGTGTAGAGTATCAGTTATTCACCATAAGATGAAAGCATGATGAACGAAGTAGGCCGCAACGTCGCCTGCTTTATTTCGGTGTCAGCAATCCTAGTGATGAAATTTAGAAATCTCGAGGTTACTTGCTCGCTGGCTTCCACCTTCCTCCAGTATAATTTCTCCATTGCTTTCTCCATCCGAGGGTTCATCTTCAAGTTCACCGAGTTTCAGCTGCTCCACATTTTCTTCATCACTAACCTGTGTGACTTTTTCGTGATCCAGTCTTCGGTGTCTTCTTCGGCGAAGACAGACAATGGTAACACATACTGCCAAAATAATGCTCGCAGCAGAAATACCTAGCAGCACCCACAACCATGTGGTGCTGATGTGCGCTTCGCTACTCTCCTCATTATTTTGATTAAAACTGGTGTTGGTAGCCGATGTCGTTATCGGTAGATTGCAATACGAAAATTCAGGATCGGTCGAATTCAGACGTGTATTTGCAATTGCTTGCACTATGTCAGTAAATGCAAGTTTGTTGACAAATCGATATAACATGTCTGCCGCGACATCTGGCACATCCATAGGTACAGCGTGACCGGCGCCAGCGACTACCAAATAGGTCAAATTTCCACCCTGTTGCGCAAATCCTGCTGGAATGTGGTGTCCTTGTACTCGCCACGTGTACTTGGGAGCCTGCTGATACGCTTCAGAGCCATTCCATTCAAGATTTAATAACAGCTTTTCTGTTCCATAGTGATTGCACATCATGTCCCATTGACCGTTATAAAAAAGCACTCGTACACCTTTTTGAAGGAGTGACGACAATTTATCTAGCGTGCTAACGCCATCGAACGCCAACAAAGCTTTGTGTACTTCACTGCTGCACATATTGAAGCGATAATTATTGTCTTCGTTGCCGTGCAATGCTTTTCGTACGTCAGCTTTATTCATATACTTTACAATGGTATCCATGCCAAACGGGTAATCATTGACGTTATTAACGTATTGCCGCACATCATAAAAATTCAATTTTTTTGCTCCTTTGCCTACCTGAACATTGCTTAAGATATCGTCCATATTTTTGAAACAGCTCTTTGAATAATACGTTCCAGAATCCAGCGCAGTTAAGCACTCAGTATATGATGCTTTTAAAGACCTTACCTGACCAAAAGTCAGCAGTCCGATCCCATGGGCATAATCACTATACTCATACTGAATTTTTGGATGAACCCATCCGTTGCCAATACCAATACCGTCCACATTAATCTTAATATGGTTCTCATGACCAGCATTTCGTTGTAAAATATATTCTGAAATTTCAGGAATCCAGCGGCCGGCATGAGATTCTCCAAAAAAGTAAATTGCTGTTGAATGTTTTACTTGGTCATCCCCATCCGACAAATACGTTGAGTGACGCTGCAAAAACTTAATTAAAAATTCGTAGAAATCCTTTGCAACTGCCTCTTCAGTCGATCGATAGACATTTCCTTTTGTGTACGACATTCCTGTACCCACTGGCTGATCTACAAAGAGAAGGTTGGCAAATTTGTGCCAACTGTGTTCATTCGTGCCAATTGTCAAATTTTTCATCACTTTAAATGGTGAAATTCCCAAAAACAAGCCCTGCATACTGGAGCACCCCGGACCACCATTAAGCCTGTCATGATAAATAGGAGGTAAGCAATGATGACGCTTTCATTGTCAATTGTTCATACCAAATCACAAGTGGTGCCTTATCCGCGTTCTGATCCGTCTGAATGTGCCAGTAGAATATTCTGTTTGTATCATCATCGTACAAAGATATAAATCCGGCGTGCTGCGTTACGTTATTCGACGGATCCAGACCAGGTAGATTGTGAACAAGGTCCTCTGTTGCCTTTTCATTCGGGTTAGCGGACATTGTATCAGTAACACTTTCCTCTATTTCTTCATTCTCTTCCTCAGTTTCAAGCTTATCATCTTGCTGAATGACTGGATACATTCGCTTTGCAGACGCAAACACACCCATCAAAACGCTCACGATCACGTGTTGCTCTATCATCTCGACGACTTTTCCGCACTGCTTCACATACTTTATGATATTCCTACTCGATTACCTTTCAGTAAGAATCAAATTTAGGGAAAAGTCTTTTATCAAATATTTTTGCAGCAAGCAATTTCTTTAGTGGACAAACACTTACTACTTGATGTGATGTTCGATCTTTAGTTTCTTAGGCAAGATGTATACATGCATCTAAAAAGTTATGATTGGTTTAGATGTCCAAACTCCGCTGAGCGTTTAATTTACCGTTGGAAGAATCGTGCGATGATTATAAAAATAATGTAGACAAATACACATCTTCTTGTGAATTAGAATGCAATTGAAGCAATAAGTAATACATCGTCAGTGTGTCTGAATAATTTCCGAAGTAGACGAATGGGATCTAAGATCACTACGCAAAGCATTTAATTGATGATTACCTACGGAGGCTGACAGACGAGTCTGATATTACGCGACGTCAGTAATATTCAAGTTGCTGTAACCTTGTTACAAAGTCATTATTTCATACCGAAGTGCTCTATTTTTTTAAGAAGACATTCGCGTGTTGCATACAAGAAGCACAAAAACTCAAGAAATTCAAGAATCAGAAATAAATCCGTTCATGCTTCTGAAATCCTATGTGATGCCTTGAAAGTAGACATACGGATGTGCAACCTTTCATAGAATTTCTTGAGTTAGCATACCGCCATACGTGGTACCAAGAAGCTTTGCATTTGCTGAATGGTTACTTCGTATGTCATCAATGGTTTACAAATACAGTTTTTGTCTTGTGTGTGTCAAACGTCACTGACAACAACATTACTGACCAACCAACGGAATAGTGGTTTCAAATGACGGGTGTGGGTCACACAAGATGATGTGGTCACAAAATGATGAGGATTACACAAGGTGGCGATGTGACCACAGAATGGTTTGGCAACTTTTTGTACGTGGCTGGAACAGCCAGTAGTTATACATATAATTAGGTTTTTTTATATAGATAGGAAGACCTATACATTTAGATATAGGCGGCTTTGCCGCAGTTAAAATCGAAAATACAGTTTACATTTTAATCGGAAGAGTGAATCTGCCTAGTATTAAGGTCTTCGTTACTCTTGAAGTAAGCGAATTGCAATCCGCTACACTCGAATCGGCTGTAAGGATGAAACGAAGATCGCCACACCTTAGCTAAGTGTCCTCTAAGCAAAAGAGCTACGGCAGTCCCTCTAAACTTGGAAGCATTTGTAGTCAATTCACACCTGATATTTGACAAATTATGCTCTGTGAGGATGGAGCAATTCTCATATTTGCCCCAGGGCATGCAGGATGGGCTTAAAAAGCTGATGTATCTGCTTGCCCCTGACCTCGCTTTGCAAGAATCTGAAGCGATCAGCGCATGCTTAGAGGCGATTTCAAGTGTTTTGCTAGAGCACCTTCGGTAGAAGATGTCGGTGTCGACTGCGTCCATGAAGCCACTGTCGGTGACGGATGACTCCCCCCGACCCAAGCCGCTCATGGTGAATGCTAAGACCTTCGAGGGCAAGGATAGAATAAATTGCCTGTTCTGGATGAGAGAGGTATATATGACCATGGCGTTTGCCATGCTCCAGACCGAGCAGCGGCGCGTGGCGCTAGCCGTCTCCACGCTCGGGGGTAGAGCGCGAGAATCGGCACTGACGCCGGTCGAAGCAGCGTTTCTTTCTGAAGCTGCAGCTTTCACAAGTGTTCTCGCCGCCTAACCAGGCATACCGCGTGTGATCGTGTTTCCTTGCCGCCCTGTCGGGCGTCGGTTATATAATGCTCTACATTAGCCGATAGCAATGATTTACCGCACCAAATTGGAAACTTATCACTTACAGTCGCTCATTACCGATACACTTTAGAGCCGTGACGTACTATTGCTTTTTCAAGCATGACCCTTTTTCCACGACTCATTGTGCATTCTGCTTTTTATGACTTGTTCCGAGCACTTGACATAATCATGGCTGATCAGACGCTCTAACAATTTTACCTCTTATGAGGAAATTATTGCATTTGGGTGTTTGCTGCAAAATCGCTTCTGCTCCGTTGAAGAGGTGGACAGATAACTTGCGAAAGCCCCACAAGAATAGATGTGCATGGCGCGAAAATTTTTCGACTACCAGACAATCTATTCTCATGGTGTTCAAGCCACACTATACTTTGGATGACGTCAAATCTCAATCTGGAATCCAGCGCTCATCAGCTGTTATGCTGTCAAGTTTTTATATTCTACCCGATGGTCCAAAAATTCCTTCGACGCTTTACCCGCGTCTCCATCGCAAGACACATATATACTGTATTCATATTTGGTGTCCTCGGTGCTTATGAGTTTTGTCAACTACACCGAGGGTCCCCCAATGTTCATAATTGCATGACGCACTTGTATTTTCCGTGGCTTTACAAAGTTTGCGGCATTTATACAATAATCAAACCGACATTTCGTCAGTTGCCCTCTATGCGTCTGCTGGAACTCGACATTAACTCTGATGGGTCGTCGGACGCTCTAACATGTGAGCCGTACCTTGTGACCCTGCAACCGAGAGATGGGAGCATGAAATACAGATGTTTTATATTGCTTCAGATAAAACATATGCGGGTTCCACGAAGCTGCTCGGCAGCTCAAAATTCTCTTCCTACTTTCTGAGCATAGCTGACGTCTATCGCATTAAGGGCGTCCATAGAGCTTCCAGTATTGGTACTCCTGGCAGCACTGGAGGTACTGAAGTGGAGCTCGGTATTAATTTCAACGCCCATTGCTTCGACCGAGGAGGTTTGGTGGAAGCTGACGGTCTCGGTACGAGCCGCACCAGTTCGAAAACCTTCAACAAATTGGTATCCGTTACTGCGTTAAATGGAGAGCCTCACGCCATTTCGGCCCAAACGATTTCGATCCTGGACCTCGTCCTTTAGACCTCGTCTATTTCAACGTGTCGACAAGAACTTAGAGCTTATCACCTATCGTGCGGCTAACATCCCACTTGTTCCTAGGATCTCTGCTCTACGGAGTTCCAGATAACTTTTATGGTTATTCACAAATACTCGAGTGATTGATGAGAATTCGTGCAGCTGTACATGATTGCATTTTTGCGCATTTGTAACAGATCACATAATATAACCATACTAGATCATTTACATAGTCCGATACAGCATTCTCAGTCTTACATATAAACAAAGAGTGGTAACTGCTGATGGTTGTGTATGAGACCATACTGTCATCAATATTACAACTCGTTCGTGTTTAAGACGAGGCTATTACTGTCATCGAGAGCACTAAATCTTTTAGATTCGGTTCAATTGTATTAATTACAGCATAGTTCAATTCGATGAAATTCACATCACACTTCGTGATGTAATTGTGGATACTTATAAGTACCTGTAACGGGACTACACGTGCCCTTGTGAGAAAGGGCGGACTGTGTGGCCGTACACGTAGGTGTGTATTATACAGATAGTGTAATCACACAGTGGTCTGGCTGCACCATAACCAGAAGCCACCTCGTGGCAGGATTGCCAGTAGTAATGCATACAGCAATATTTTATTAGGAAAACCTAGGGTTTCAGATATTAACGGTTCTGCGGCAACTAAAACAATAGGATACAGTTTCGGTTTTGAAGAAAAGTGTTCGTTCGCCTTAGTTAAGGTCTAAGTACTTAGAAGTAGCGGATTGCGATCCGCTACACTTGGACTTGTTCTTGGAAAGAACATAAGGTCGGTGACCTTAACTTATTTTTCTCAAGCAAAGAGCTACGGCAGCTCCGCTGCACTTGGTAGCACTCGTAGTCAATCAACACCTGAGTCGCTACGACTGATCCACTGAGAGGATGGAGAAATGATCCTTTTGGCCCCGGACATGCAGGGCGAGCTTAATGTGCTGATGTTCCTGCTGCACCCTGAGGTCGTGGGACACCTTGTTGCGCAGGGGTTCGAGGCCATGAGCGCGCGCCTAGAGGGGTTTCCAAGCAATGAAAATGCTCTGTTATAGCGCTAACAGCTGATGTTGTCAGCGTCAACTGCGTCTATGACGCCACCGTCGACGACGGATGATTCCTTCCGACAGAGGCCGCTCATGGTAAGCGTTAAGACCTAGAAAATAACGATGAAAGAATCTCTTGCTGTGGATAGGAGAGGCCGAGATGACTATGACATCCACCATGCTCTAAAACGAGCAACAGCGCGAGGTGCTAGCTATTTCCTAGCTCGGAGGCCGAGCGCCAGAATGGACTCTTACGTGCGGTGCATCGGTTAGAGCTGCGTTTCTCTCCTGGACGGAGCTGAAGCGTCAGCTTTTGCGAGCGTTCTTGCCGCCTAATCAGGCATATCGCTTGGTATCGCGTTTTCTTGCTGATAGACAGGGCAAGAAGGAGTTGGTGGACTTTGTCCAAGAGTTTAGAGCTCTTAATAACAGGGTAGCAGCAGATCCTCTCCCGAGGCGGTCGCAATGACCGTTTTTATGGAGGGCATCTGCACTGGCTTGGCTAAAATTGGAAGTCTTCCGTGTGCATCCGTCTTCTTTTGAAGAAGCGGTGGACGTGGCATTGAATGCCAAATTCAACTTCAAGGCGGCACGACTTGTTTGGAAATTTCACCGTCAGAGCTCGTCGAGCGGGTCTGAGCCATTCGATCTCAGCTATGCTGCAAGGAGGAGGGAGAGCTCCGAGCTGCTGAGCAGCATGTAAACATCCGATGATGTTTTGTTTGTGAAGACACCCGTCACCTTCAGACGTGTTGCCCCCTGCGCAAGGCGCGTAAAGGTTCGTCGAACCGACGTCCTACTTCTAACCAGACTGGTTTGTCGCGGCGAAATGAGAGAACCCAGTAGGCGCGGGACGCCCTAATGGGAAAGAAACAAGTTCTGTTGAGCCTAAAAGAGGTAGGTAGCAGCATGGCTCAGCCCTGAAGAGCTGCGTGCTTTTGAACACGGAACGTGTGTACTATCTGGGCTTGCTGGTCACAAAGGCGACCATGAAAATCTTTGAGAAGCCATGGAAAATCCTTATTG